AGCTTCCGGATTTCTCTGGTAGTAAACAGTAGAACCCATTGTTGTGACGGCCGAGAGTAATGATGAATACAACAGCTAATCGACGAATTCAATTTATTTAACCACTTTTAATTAATAACTTTTACATCTTCATCCGCGTCTCCGGACATGATTTCGGCGTCTCTCCAGTAACTGTATCGCACTTCATCTTTTTCTGTTCACACACGTACAAGGCTCAATGACAACTCGGGAAGGTGAGTAATTCAAGGTATTGGCAAAATAAATCAAGATACTGAATGATAAGGTGTAACATCTCTCCCCCTTGAGAAAGAAAAATTCTTCGAGCCCGTTGTAAAAATTAAAAAAAAATCACAAATTCAATTTTGTTGGAGCCTTCACCACCCTGGTAGAACGCCTCAAGGGTTGTGCGACTTCCGTTGCTGGGATTGATCCAGTCCTAGTATTCGAAGGGCCTTCCATTGGATCTGGATCAGGTTCCGCTGGTCGTTGATCAACTTGCATCTCCGGAGTACAGACCGGAGCAGTTGTTGACGTTTCCTTGGTATATTCAGGAGTAGCTACTCCTGACGGAGAAGCAGCCACCCCCTGACTACAGTACTTTCCCGGTCTGGCACTATTCGGTGAAGTATCCGGAAGATGAGCGCCCACACCGACGATATGGTCGATATGACGCTCCCAGCACCGCCCGTCATCCAAGCGGACAGCATACCGAAGTTTTCCAACTTTCTCCGCAATCTTTCCAAACTTCCATTTGTCAGCAGACAAAAAATCTCGAACACGCACACGATCACCGACTTTGAATTCTCGTACTATGTAGTTCTTCGCACTAACGACCTCGTTCTTCGGTAGCATTAAGTCAATTCTTGATCTTATCTGTCGACCAAACATCATCATAGCGGGTGATTGTCCAGTCGTAGGATGTATCATCTTCCGGTATACCAATAGTATGTTGCAGAGTTCCACATTCAGCTGCATCTTTGTGCACTTTAGTGACTTCAATTTCTGCTTCATTGTTTGAACATAGCGCTCAGCTTGCCCATTTGTTGCAGGGTGATAGGGCGCTCCCATCTTGTGAACTATACCGTTCATCCGCAGGAACTGCTGAAATTGCTCGGATGTAAACTGAACACCGTGATCGCTCACAAGCACCGACGGTATTCCAAAAGTACTGAAAATTTCACGACACATCCGGATTGTGCTATCGGTAGTGATGGAGCTACATACTCGAACCTCCGGCCATTTGGTATAGGCATCGACCAGAATGAAAAAGTATGTGTCCATGAATGGTCCCGCGAAGTCGACATGAACTCTTTGGAACGGTGCAGTAGGGGCTTCCCAGCAGTGTAATGACATCTTCGCCGGCACGGGTCTCACCGACTGACACTCGACACAACTTGCGATCATCTCCTCAATAGCACTGTCCATTCCGTTCCACCAGCAATATCCTCTTGCTAATGACTTGGTCCGCGTTGTTCCAAAGTGCGTAGAATGCAACTCCTCGAGAACTTGCTTCCGTAGAGAATGTGGCACATACACCCGTATACCACGCAGCAGACAGCCTTTTTGCAGAGTGAACTCGCTCTGGTCAATTCCAAATCTATCCTTTCCCTCGACCAGTACACCGTATTTGATTCCTTGAATTAAATTCCTTACGGTTGAATCTTCAGCAGTTGCTTGAGCTAATTCAGCAACAGTAAGTGGAAGTGTTTCGATTTGGTACATTTCTACTAAGTCCGACTCTTCAATCACGTTATCTGCGTCAGCTAATTTCAGTGGAATTCGAGACAAAGCATCTGCATTGGCATGGTTCACCGACTTTCGGAACCGTATTTCATAATCAAATGACTGCAAGTAGGTTGCATAATGCTGCATCCTCAGGGCGGACATAATAGGCAATCCTTTGTGCTCCCCGAATATTTTGGTTACTGCTTGATTGTCTGTAACCAAAGTGAATCTGCGACCGTACAGAAATTGGAAAAATTTCTTGACGCCAAAAATTATCGCGTACGCCTCTTTGTCCACGTGTAGGTACGCTTGTTGGGTTCGATTCAGCGTTTGGGATGCAAACTGAATCGGACGCTCCGAACCATCTGGGTAGATGTGGCTAAGTACGGCTCCAACTCCATATGGCGATGCATCGGTAGCCAACAGCAGGGGCAACTCGAAGGAATAATGTACGAGACAGGTTTCCGCTTGCATTTGTTCCTTCACAGCGTGAAAAGACTTCTCACATTGCTTACTCCATACGAACGGCACATCGTTTTTAAGAAGGTTGTTCAGGGGATAGAGCACAGTACTCAGGTTCCGGAAAAATCTACCATAGTAATTGATAAGACCAACAAATGAACGTACCTCGTCCTTGTTTTCCGGTCTCCGCATCTCCTGGATTGCCTCTACCTTTTTCTGGATCTTGTGGATGCCCTTACAATCGATCAGATACCCGCAGTACTCTATCACATCCGCGAAAAACTCGCATTTGTCACGGTTGACTCGAATGTTATTTTCATCCAGACGGCGCAAAACTTCCTCCAATCGACGCAAATGAGTCTCGTCATTATGTCCAGTGATCTTGATGTCATCCAAAAATACACTGACACCCTCGATTCCTTGCAGCAATGCCTCCATTTGTCGTTGCCAGATGGCAGGCGCCGATGCCACCCCGTACATTAGACGGCTCGGACGATACAGACCTCGGTGAGTGCTTAGGGTAAGAATTTCACGATCCTCCGGAGCAACTTCCATTTGCAAGTAGGCCTGCACTAGGTCAATTTTGCTAAATTTCTTCCCGCCAGCCAGGGAGGCGAACAGCTCATCCACCGTTGGAAGCGGGTGCTTATCCACCACCAGATTAGGGTTGACAGTTTGTTTATAATCCCCGCAGATACGTACACGGTTGTGGGATTTCTTTACTGGCACAATCGGCGTCGCCCAATTACTGTGGTTGACCTTTACCAACACTCCTTCAGCTTCTAATTTGTCGAGCTCAGCTTCAACAACCTTTTGCAGATTGAACGGAATTTTACGTGCTTTCAGGAATACAGGACGGACATCATGCTTCAGTGGCAGGTTCGCTTGAACACGGGAGATCTTACCGATGGAATCCTCGAACACTTTCGGAAACTTTTGCAGCAGCCTTTCCACAGTAGCAGCAGGATATTCATATGGAGTACCTTTATCTATCTCGTTAACTGCACTTTTCTTCAACAACAGTGTGTTCCAATCGACCGGCATACGACAGAGCCATTCCCGCCCGATCAACGGATGTTTTTCCGACTTCACGATGTATAATGGTAATAGTAAGTTTTGTCGATCGAATTCAACACACGCGTCCATTATCCCGAGCATTTCAATGTTTGTGTTGCAATAGCTCACGAGATTCACATCGCACTTCCGCAAGTTCGCTCCCGCGAGCAGTTTTTTCCAACAATTCACACTCACGATGGTAACGGGCGATCCTGTATCTACCTCGAAACGTAAGTCAACTCCATTTACGCGCACTTTCAACCAAAACTTTTGATTGTCCGATATGGAGTTCACCGAGCATACTTCACGAACTTCGGAATCACTGCAGTCTTTTCCGAGATCATCGACGAAGTTCGTTTGCACTGTGTTTTGCTTACCCGCCGGTCGTGAACCACCAGGCTTTGCCCCAGATTTCTTCAAGCACACTTTTTCTAGGTGTCCTTTAAGTCCACAGAATCTGCATTCAGTTTGTTTATGCTTGCAAGCATTGGCAAGGTGCGACTTGTCACCACAACGATAGCAGCTAATATCACTCCCAGCGGCCCCTTTTTGAACAAAACGCCTTTCCCCTTCGTTTAATTTGCTCTTCGACTTGTTCCGCTTACCTGGCTGGTGCAGCATTTTGTGGACTTCCTGCTTACCTTGGCTGCCTTCAATTTCAGCTCCACCTTTCTTTGAGAGTTCCATACCCACAGCGATATCACGAGCATCCTGCAGTGTGAGCTCTCTTTTTTCCAGCAGCCGGCTTCGAATGTCGTTCCTCTTAATGCCAAACACCAACTGGTTCCGGAGTGCAGTTTCCAGGTACTGGCCAAAGTTGCAAGTAACTGCAATCCGTCGAAGTGCAACCAAATATTCATCAACGGACTCCTCCGGCGTAGCAGCATCTTTGTCGCCTTGGCGACGGCACTTAAAACGAAAGTTTTCACTGATTTCCAGTGGTCGGGGATTAAAAAACGCTTCCAGAATGTCAACAATCACTTGATATGTTTTCGTACGGGGCACTTCCGGCGCGATTTTGTCGCAAATTATGTCGTAGCTATCAGGGCCCATATAATGGAGCAGCAAACTTTTTCGCATCTGTTCGTCGACAATTCCGTAAATGGTGAACGCATTTTCCAGCCGTTCCACCCACCGCATCCACTTCAACTTGCGCTTGTCGAAGGGGTCAATAGCAAAACTTGGTGGTGGAACGCCAGCAGCAGCACGAGCAGCATCACCTTCTCCTCCCGGATTCGCCATCCTCGTCGCCAGAACTGTTGTGACGGCCGAGAGTAATGATGAATACAACAGCTAATCGACGAATTCAATTTATTTAACCACTTTTAATTAATAACTTTTACATCTTCATCCGCGTCTCCGGACATGATTTCGGCGTCTCTCCAGTAACTGTATCGCACTTCATCTTTTTCTGTTCACACACGTACAAGGCTCAATGACAACTCGGGAAGGTGAGTAATTCAAGGTATTGGCAAAATAAATCAAGATACTGAATGATAAGGTGTAACACCCATGCTCCATAGAGAGGATCAACAGCAACTAGATAAAAATGACTTCATTACTACGATAGAATGCAATAATCAGTTCAATTATTCAGAGTAATTGTTCGGTGATAGTAATAGTGATTATCGATAGAACCAGCGAACACTATTACAATGAGTTTTAACGTACACACTCAAACATACGCGCTCTCACATGATGCAGTTTTCACAACACTAGGATTTCAATTGCGTTTAATTTCTTTTCGAAAACGAATTCAGCCTTTTATTCAATGCTTCGAACAAAACAAGTCCAAATAATTAATAATAACATAAAACAGATCCAATTCAATGCTTAATATCAACCCTTTAACCCTCACCCCTCTATGCTAATTCTCATCCATGGCCTCAGCAATCACCTGCTGAATCTTAATTCTAACCGATAGATTCTTCTTCCCCGATAGCTGTTTCATAAACGGGTGCAAGCTCATCAAAAAGTTGTAATCCGAGTCCGCTTCCATGCCGTAAGCACCCTCCATCACCTTCTCGACCGGTTCCGTTTTGATTCGTGCTCGCAGCTTATTCTTAAAAGTCACCTCTCCGAACAAGTGCGAGGGCACCTCGATCACGTCCTGACTTGAATTGGCTTCCCTCTTGCCATTGCTCCCCACCTTCTCTTCGTACGTCTCGATCATATGCAGATCCTCCGGATCGATCTCCACAGCCGCTCCTGTGGCCGTGTCATCCGATTCTAGACGCTCCATACTGGTTGCAACGACGGTTTCATAGGTGGTTGCCTTAGGGTCGTCATAAACCACGAAGGATTCCACCACTTCACTTTCGCTTTCACCCATGGAAGATGTTGCATTATTGTGAACCGGTTCCTCGTCGGTCTGCGGCTCCTGCGAGTTAAGGCTTGAGAACTTCCAGTGTTCGTTGGATTTAGTTTGGCTCGGTGAGGAAGTTCCATTTTTCAAGTAGCTCTCCCGTGTTCGGAAATGCCCGATCAAGAACGACATCTTATCGAACAGGGGCCAACTGGAGGTGACAATTTCTCCGTCCTCAATGCGTTTCACCTCACGGCGAAAACTGTCGCGCAAGGTCTTCCAGCGAACCTTGAGGGACGTGACTGGAATGAAAGAAATCAGTAGATATTTAGAAGACGAAACGAACCAAACACTACATAAAAATGTTGTTTACGCATCTAACCATGCATTGTTCAATGGTTAACGATCGTTTCCCCCCTTTCGTTCTCACTCACCTTCAGTGGCCTTGAATGCTTTGCGAATTTCCTCCCAGCCACGGTGCGCAACCTGAACGCGCTGACGGAGATGCTTGCGGTGCCACAGCGCCGGCCGGGCTTTGACGCATTCAATCAGCTTGAACGTATCCTCGTTGAAGTAGCAATTTTTATTCGACGTCGTATGACCACTACTAGTACTGCCGCTGCCCGAACCGATCACCTCTACCGGCGATACACTGCCGGGTCCGCACGCCACAACAGTAGCAGCGGTAATCGGCGGCGCCATCTTGCTTGATGCGTCGAGAACTCACCAGTCACCACTCACTCGTAGGTCAAACAATCAATAAACGGCTGTCAACTTACGCAAGGTCACACACGTCTTCTGTTTAGTATCACAAAACTATCGAAATTCTCCCCCCGTTTGCAATGGATGATCTCCTTCTCAACAAGTGCAAAAACACTAGCACTGGCACTCTGCTTAATCGCGGCTTAGTGGCGTAGTGCACCGACGGACGACCGACTAATGGACGATGATATGCGCGAGAATGGTGCGATGAGGCGCAAACGATTCAACGCAGACGTACGTATGGGAAAATGCGAAGCAAACGACGACCGACCGACGCGACGCTTTTTTTTTTGCTCCTCAGCACAAACTGTTTAGAACTCGAGCCACACGCAAACGAAACGAATCCAAAAAGGGGTTTGCTGCACCACCACCACCAACACAATCACAAACGACGCTCAGTCCTCCGACAACGTGCTGAGTATAGAGCTATAGACGATGTCACGAGGAAGCGAGATGATTTTGTTTTGGCTTTGGCGCGCAAATCGAAGTGGTCGTCGGCCAATGTCAGGTAAACAGGTGCGGCAGTGTTTTTCGTTCTACTGCTGATCGATGGACGACGGTAGGGAATCAAAAATGTATATATAATGACAAATTGACATTCGACATACGAGTCAAATAATAAGGGGTGATCAATAACAGCAACAATGATAAAATTGATTGAAAATTTATATGATTTCACTCCGATAAAGCTATGTTGAAGACACAATTTCTCATGACAATCGTCGCAAGTGTTTTGTCTTACTATACATTGTTGTTGCTTGCTCTCAGTGTTTTGGTTCCCTGGATGACGGAGTTTGACATCACACTCTGTCACCCATAAAACTTCGAGAGAACGATAGAGACGACAAATTCATATTACCGCACCAGTTTACATCACATTTGTCGTCGACGTCGAGGCGATAATCGTTGGTTCTCGGCAAAGGCCTGCGCAAGCAAAATAAGTAGCAAGGAACAAAAACTGCTTACGTCTGTCAAAGTGTGCTGTTCGGAGTCCGTAGTGTGATCGCATGTTTAGGGTAAGCATTAGATTGCGGGCAGATTAATTCAAAGGGTACGATGATCGATTCTCGTAAAGTTATTACTCGTACTCGTACTGGTACTCGTAAAAATAAATAAATTACCCAACAAACAATTCACATTCAGGTAGCAGGTCACTTTTAGTGGCTTAGTCACTATTTTCCAGTCAGTCACTAAAATGTCACTTTTTTCACCAAAAAGTCACTAGAGTCACTATTTCTTAAAATTTAGTCACTAAAGTCACTTTTGCACGACTAATATTGCCTAATATTTTTTCGTTCAAAAGGAAGATTACGTTCACAGGGCTGGTAGCGAGTCACCTTTTAGTGACTTGGTCACTTTTTTCAAGCCAGTCACTAAAAAGTCTCTTTTTTAAGGGCAAGTCACTTAAGTCACTTTTTCTTGTAATCAGTCACTATTTTCAACTCTTTTAGCGTGAATTTATTTCCCGATTGATCATTCTTTGATTTGTGGCGTTTAATCGTCTTTCTCTATCTACAGGGTGTTTACTTATTTTTCTAAATAGAATTTTCTGAGTTTTCCAAATTTTTCCAAACGGATAAATTCCAGGTTTATAATAAGAAGACTATTTTTTAAATGCGTTAAAAATATGCTTTTTTGGTAGATCTAAAACAACAGCAATTAAACTAAACTTTTTTTAAGACATGGCAATCAGTTTTAAAGAAACAGCTTTACAATCAAATCCATTGAATGTTGTAGTTTAACACCTACTTATTTCTCCGGTAATAAAGTTAATAAAAACTTACTTAATTTGAGTAAGTCTAAGATCTAAAATTTTTCAATATATTGAAGTTTCGTATTCCATGTTCAAGATAGCATTAGCATTAGCATTAGCATCGAACAAGTTGCACAATATCGTAGGTGGTGCGAATTCAAAACTAGGGCAAGACGGATATCTATTACTGGACAGATAGTAAGTAGGAAATAATTACTATATCCCAGAAAAGACATATCCCGCTCCAACAGTTAAGGATTGTCCTGGCCACGTACTTACAACTGGTAGGGATAGGAAAGGTATGTTAGTTCAACATGTACTTAAGAGAGAGGCAGAGAGCAAACTGATAGTTTGCCATTCTTCTCCGAACAAGTGGCCGGCTACTACTTGCAGACTTCATCAGTGCCAAGTGGTGTTGAGTTTATAAAATTTCTCAAAGGGGATCGTAATCAACGAAAGATTGGAATCATATCTTTTTGATCAATAAATGTCACTATTGGTCACTATTTTTGTTTTAAAGTCACTATTTAGTCATTATTTTGGTTATTTTAGTCACTAAAGTCACTACTATTGTATCATATTCGTACTACCAGCCCTGCGATAATTTTGGCCACTTTTCTCCAGTCTTTTTTTCAAATTGTTTGATTGAATTCGTTGCCTTAAAGTGTTTCCGTAGATATCCCTTAGAAAGGGCTCAAATAGTTTCGATTGACCGGGATTGTTTGCTTTGTACCAAGCTACCGTGTCTTTCGAGTAGTATATTGACACCAAATTTGACTAAAATAGTACTGGGCTATGTTGACGGATCATGTGCCACAAACGCCGATTCAAACACTCCCGAATGTAAATTTCAGTGTTCATCGTCTCCTCCGTCACAAATGACTTTGACAACTTGCCACACCCATGTATCGCTTGCCTAACCATGGCCTTCTTACCAATTTTTTTTCGGTAAAAATTGACTTATCGGCATCGTCAACTTCCTGACCATCACGGACTGTGTAGTATTGGTCTCTCGGAAGCGTCTTGTAGTCAAATTTGACGTATGTTTCATCGTCCATGATAACACACGCCAATTTTCCACACAGCAACTTCCGAGCCCTCGGTTTGACTGATGCGGCTTGTTTCTGACCTCGGTTCGGCTTCTTCTGCTTCTTGAACGTTTTCAGCCCGTTTCTTGCCTTGGGAAGTTGGACGTTACTCTTCGATGTTCTCAGTTTTTTGGCCAAATCTCGAACAGAGGCACTTTTTTAGTGACTTCTTCACCGAACTTTCGGATGGCGGTTTGCTCCATTTTCGCCAACTTCCTTAGTTATAGGTTGGGAATAGTGCACCATTTGTGCACGATCTGTTTGCGCTTTTCCACGGAAATTCTTCGCATTTTGATGATTTTGTTAAAAAAAAATGCACTTTGCGCAAACAAACTTGTTGAGCAATAAGTAAACAACAAGACGCATCGATGAACAACTGATAAACTTTATTGGGGTAGAAATGGCGGTGAGTTGAAAGCGTGCTTATACTTTCTCGAACACCCTATATATGAGGCAGTTGACGATTACCTAAAAAAGCAGGACTTGATGAATTTCTTTGAAATTTTGCGTGACACTATTTGAACTGTCTAAGAATGGGACAACAATCTATTATAAAATACATTCTTATCTTAATATTTCCATTGTTAGAGAATGTGATAATTCCACTATTATCGGAGGAAAATAAACTTCCGTGAGGATTCCTGGTTTTCCAGGTAGTGGACATCCTGCTATGATCGAACAAATAAATCATTTTAAACCTATCACATATAAATCACTGTTGATTTTGAAGTAATAATTTAGGAAAATATTCCCAAAAGAGAATATTCAAATAATTACGTCGATTCAAATAGATATGAAGATTTTTTATTGAAGAATTGTTGATGGAAAATACCAATTGCAAACCTTAATTAATTAGTTACGAATCACCTATTTTCCTGAAAAATTAAGATCACCCAATTACTTACTAATAAAAGCACACTCAATTCTGTATTTTCTTGATTTAATTTTAATTTTAACCGATTTTGTCCTCAATTAAGAGTACACAAAGGGTTTCTGTAAGTGATTAAAGTTTTCAAATTACATTGTCGATTCAATTGGATATTTTTAATTTTTTTGAAGATCAGACACATAAGTAATCGAAAATGTAGTGATTTTATTCCATTTTAAAATCTCAACGATAACTACACAGTTAATAAAGTAGTGTACATTTCTGTTACTTTGATGCATATAATGGGAGCGTCATATATTACACAAGTTTACATTATAGATCGTGTAAATTTGTGCGACATAAAATGAAATATTAGTATAACGCAAAGGATAACTCGGCTCTGTAAATTTTATTCGATTGAGCCTGTACAAATAAAGTAATTATATAAAAAAAAATAATGAAATATTCCATAATTTGTATGAAACTCTTCATCTTTGTAAGCAACATTTCCAAGTTGCTAGTTTACGTGAAAATGAAGTTGACATGCATGAGTGTTTGCATGCATGCCTTCTTTTTTTTTCCTTGATTTGTTTTCCGTCGATCTTGTTTTCCGTGCTGAGCACCAATACCAGTGGTGGCACGAGTACTGGAGTTCAACGTTTTTTCCTTTACATTTGATACTTTGCGCAATGACCATACAGAAGACGCACAAACACAAACTGGCAAGCGGAAAAATGTCATGACATTTCTAAACTGTTTTCTGCAGGCGACAGAACATTTGCGCACAATGAAGCAGACAAGGCCAGCGGCGCGTGCGAAATAAATTTATGTCATGTAGAATTTTGCTGATTTCTGGCTAATTATAGCATTTATTTGATGTTTACTGCATGGAATTATAAATTAAAAACGAATACTAACCACTCATAAGCTTAGATGTTAAAATTATGCGTAGATAAGGGAGTTAATAATTTACTGTGACACGAAAGCTTGCAGCTAAAATGGAATTTCAATAAACTGTATGAAAAATAATGCGCTACGACATTTTTCCTATTCTCTATCTCCGCCGTTTGTTTGTATTGTAGAAATACACGACCGCCCGTGTGCTGGCGGTTTTGTTTTGCTCTGGACGATGGTTTTGCAAAAAATGTACTGTTGCCACCTTTGACCAATACTACGGACGCCAGGAAGGCAGCTCTCACACCTGGACCCTACCTATCGACCCATCAACTCATGAAATGAGAACCAACGGCTCTACTTCCCTTCCGAAGGAAGGCGTGATCAGAGATGTTATGCCTCAGAACATCCCGGCGGCGCCGACTGGGATTGAACCCAGTCCTGCTGGGGTGAGAGGTAGCCACGCTTACCACTACACCACCGGTGCATGCTTGTTTACATCACATCGTAAAATAATACAACGTTTTGTCAATCCAACTCTAGAGAAATATACGGCTTTTGAAAATAAGATGTAATAAAGGATATTATTTGGTTTTTGTATGCTTTTAACAGATTAAACAAAAAAAAATGATTAATTTTGGGTTGTGACCAGAGATGCCAGA